GCCGAAATCAGACACTCAACCGACTGAGCCACCCAGGGGTCCCCCAGAGTTTCTTAAACACACAATTCTGCTGACACTTACATCATCCTCACTCCGCGATGTCACCACGGCATCGATCATTTTTCGGGGGTTATTCACACTAGAGACAGTAAGCTTTCCCAAAGAGCCCTCGAACTGCACTGCAAGGACAAAACATTTCCAACAAATAACTCAGCAATGCAGGCAAGGCAGTTTCAAAGACCTTTATAGTCTCTATTCTTTCACAGCCTAACAGTTCAGTACAAAAATCTATGTATCTAATGTGATCTCTTACCCAAATCTATCTTTTCCCATTTTGTGGTTGCAATGATAGTAAAAATCTGAAGTATTTCCCCTTTATTATAGGGATACTAGAAATTAGAACACATTTCAAAAAGTTAAGGAATCGCAAGCACTAAAGGATCTATAAGTCTATCTGCTAAACCACTCATTCCATGGAATAAAGGCAGGCCTCTGCATTTAAGGACAATAGTCCTTATAAATGAGCTTTGAACATCTCTATATCCAGTCATCTATACAGTTCTATTTATCATATTGGCAGCTCATTGAATTTCTTTTATTGTGGGCCCAGGGATAAGGACCTTACCTGGCTTATAGGCGTGCTCCAGTTTGGCCACCTGAGGGGTAATGAGCTTGGTGCGCTCCTTTTTCGGGCCTTCGCCTTGTACTTCTTCAGCAGCTGACAGTTTCTCCAGTTTTTCAAAGTAATTCTACCACGTGAAGATGATTTCAGTTGCAACACAAGCCCAGAGTATGGCTGCTCTTTATCATACATGATTAGACTGGTGGCAGCAACAACTTGGGACTCTATAAATGTATCGATCTTTAATTTTTGCTAGACTGCCAGATATTTACTTCTCAAAAAATCCCAGCCTACGGAAAAGCCCAACCTCAATGGAAATATCTTCAAAGTTAGACTGCCAATATTTTTAACTGAGAGAACCAGATTATTGATGCCAAAGAGATTTCAAAACATTGGCCCGGGAGCCTGTGTGTGTAAGGAATAAAAGGCATGTACAGAAACCTTCTAGTGAATAGTGAGAGGCTCTCCAGCTTCGGAAGAGGACAGAATTTGCTTAGTCAATTCTGACCCAATTGAATACCACCTCAAAAGAAGATTCTGTCAGTATTTAAGTCTACCGATATTTCCCTGAGTGGCTCACCAGAGTAAGGGACTGGATGACCACCTACCTGGTAATAGAAATCGTCCAGGTAGGGATCAGTGCTCTGCAGCTGCATCATCTGGATTTTAGAGACCCAATCCTTCTCTCGCTGCAGCATGAGGTTGGCATAGGGGTCCTTGCGGAGATGGTCCTGACTGCTCCGGTGACTCCCTCTGTCTCCGGCGCCATTGAGACTGCGATGCTGACTGAAAACACACACGGACACAGGGGCGCATTCGCTCCACGTCAGGGCACTCGTTAGGCCTTGTACCAATTCAGGAACAAGCCGGGCCAGTTAAAAAAGATTCCACTTTGCTTTTGTTAACAAAGGAGGGAAAAGAATTGAATCTAATGGCAGCGTCAGAGAAGAGCTATGCATACACAAAGAAACAAAACTGAGACGTGAGTGCCTCATCACGTGTTGAGCACTGTCACCCACGCACTTCTGTTTAAGCCCCACAATAACCCTAAGAGGTAGGTGGCTTTATGTTCTCCACCGAAGATAATAAACCGAGGCCAAAGAGGTGTGAACACAGGCCAGTATGACTCACCATCTATACACTTTTTTTAACTTGCTGAAAAATCACGAAATACTTCAAATATAGAGAAAAGCCCACATTAAACATTCATTTATCCACCACCCAGACTTAGTGGGAAAAAAAAAAATTTATTTGCTTCAATTTGCCTCAGAGTTTTAAACAGTAGCATTAAAGCAACATACTGTTGCACCCCGTCTGGATCCTGGTTTCCTACCTCCCTTCCTTCTCAGAGGAGTTCGTATGC